TTATATATATATAATATCTTACTTAGGGACCCCTCGAAAGTAGTTTTAGGTTCTACATGGCAAGATAAACTAGGTCAATTTGAACCCATATTTTTCCATTTTCGCAAATGTTATAAAGTTTTTTAGATTTTTATTGTTGAGAAGAGATATACAACGTTTTATTTTTTAGTCATCTTCCACGATTACGGTGGGAAGAGCGAAAATATAGGCCGCGGAATATTGCTTAGCAGTAACCGCGTCAGGTACGCTCCGCAGGAAACTAAGTACAAGTTGCGTAATTGAAACCTTAGCGGGAGCAAATTGTGAATATTTTGATGGAAGCTGTTGAAAGTTTCCACCTTTTCTTGGACATCTAATGACATCTCGTAAGTATATTTCATTATCTGGCGACGAGAATAACTTGTAACAAAATGAACGTTCTTTGGGGATCTTGCTTGCCAGAGGGCCATTCCATTTAATGTACACCCTCCCCCCCCCTCCTATGGACGAGGTCAATAAAATTTGAACCCCTAAGAAAAAAAGATCAAAGGATGCCAATGCACACAATCCCTCGGAAATTCTCGTCCATAGGGGGGGGGGTATATTAAATGGAATGACCCACTGAATGATTCTGTTGACCTTGCTTGTACGTGCATTTCTGATTTCTTAAATTGTAGTTTTTGCATTGTTTTTATTTGGCAGCAAGATTAACAAGAACACTGAAACAAGTGGTTCATTTTCGCAAGATTCCAAATCTGTTGTATTGTACATCTAAAGCCCAGGTGTGTTTGACCTATAGTGATAAAACTGAACAATTTTCTCGGCAAAATCCTAAACCTAATACTGTATATTATATATCAAATACACACTGTATAATGAAAAGAAGAAACAGTTTGTCAGTGCTCTTAATAACAACACATAGACCAGCATTTAATGTATGTTAGTGCATGTTTAATATTGAGTGGCAGCACTCTCTCCCTGACAAGTAAAATAATCTGGTGTTAGACAGAGTAAAATAATAAAGTAACCCATTAAGTTGCATTGTGCTGTAAGGCATCCATCTTACTTTGTTATTTTATTCGGTATAATGCCAGATGATTTTACTCATCAAGGGGAGATCAATAAAAATCAATAAACTAGAAGTCAAGCTAGTGAATATTCCCTGATAATCACTGAGCCTGAGGTGAATAATTGTTTTAGTATTTTTACACAAGTCTTTTGTGTTTTTTGGGACTGAATTTATTTTAATTTTGCTTATTTCGTTATCATTAACTTCACAAAACGGCTAGTCGCCATTTTGTAAATATCGGTTTTGTTACGTCAAATTGGACCAATCAACTTGTAGGATTTGTTATATTCACTTAATATACAAAAATACTGAAATATTGTATTACAAGTGTGAATTACACTCTTATAGTTACATAGCACAAAAACAATTTTCAAACCATAGCATTTTTTTTCAGATGAGTAGGCCAGTAGAAGAGGCCATTGCAAACAAATTAACAAGTGAATTGAATGTAGGTATCAAAACATGTTCTGTGACTTTATATTGTTTTCAACCGTTGAAGATATGGATTGAAAGATTTTGTGTAAATGTGGTTAAATTTTAAATGATTTCTTTTTCAGCCTTCATACTTGAATGTGATTAATGAGAGTTATATGCACAATGTACCAAAAGGTAAACTTGAATCTTGAGGCAATTTTTTCTTTTGATTAAAAATGTGTTATGACCACAGGATCGGCCCAGGGTATATTTATTTTACCTATGCCTGCCTGTTACTGTTATGACAGGCAAGGCTTGTTAGAGAAGGAGGGCTATTTCCAGTGCTGTAGCAAGCTCGATAATTGGGGGGGGGGGGCAGATATTCATATATTTGTGTTCACAGACCATAAAAACAATCGATTTCTAAAGAAATTAATAATGCATAACACAAATATATGAATATCTGCCCCCCCCCAATTATCGAGCTTGCTACGGCACTGGCTATTTCTGTTAACTAGTAAATATTCTGAAATTTGTTTCTTCTAGATTCAGAAACACATTTTAAAGTAGTTGTTGTTTCAAATAAATTTGAACAATTATCTTTAATTCAGGTAAATTTGTTCAGTACAATAGTCAATACTTTTGCGATAGTAAGCTTTGAAATTAACATGTAAAGTCATCTGGTGTCTTAGTTACTGGATCAATTTTCTAGAGACATAGATTGGTGAATCAAATTTTACAAAATGAAATGGCCAACTCTGTACATGCCTTATCGATTCAGGTATGCGTGTTATCACACTCTAGATTTTTTTGAAAAGTTGCACTTGCAGGAACTTGTTACAACAAGCTTTGTTAATTTTATTTAGAATGAGCTTTGTTTGATTTAGATTTGTTTGTTTGTTTAATAAACGCCAACACTCAATGGCATTATATTTTATGACATTTCTGTTGCAGGCAAAAACACCTGAACAATGGGAAAAATCTGAAGGCAAAATATCGAAGTCTCCTCCATGCCTCGGTGGTGCTGGTAGATAGAAATATATAAAAGGTAATTTTGACATAAGACCATTTGGCTTCATCAAATGATAAGCAAAGCTAGGTTTTATTTGAGGGTTTATTGACCCTTTACAGAATGATACCAACAAGAAACAAATATACAGAGCCAAATTTGTTTCTGAATTCTACTTTCTTATTAATGGAGCATATAGAAAAAGGAAATCACAAAAGATTAATTTACAGGTACAAGATTTTCATAAAGAAATTATTCTTGTAATGAATGTTTTTCTGTTGTTGCAGGTGGTTGGATTACATATATCCAAGGATTAGTTTCAATTATTGAGGAGTTTGGTTAGTCACCTTCCTAAATATAATGTAGGGTTTAATTCCAATTATGGTATTATCATATCCTGACCCCCTCTTGGGAACAATAGAGTCAAAAACCATGTACAGTGTATGGAGAAAGAAGAGATAATTTATAGTTATAATAAACTACTGACAGGTGATATTAAAAATTAAGTTAAAAAAACATGACTGTTTAATAATATATCTCCTGTAAATGCTGCTGTGGTTATACCAGGTCTACTTTGTGATTATCTTCATTAGTTTTTAACGTTGTGTGTCGGGAATTTCCCTTTTCAATTCTCCGGAAAGACGTCAAGATTTGCGATGTACACAAGTCACAAGACTATTACTTTTGATCAGCAAAATCTGCGAAGTTAGAACAAAATTTTTATGACAGTTCTCAATACGTTTAATACTACGGATGAATGATTTTAATGTGCGGTTTACGATTAAGGGGGCTCTTCTCCCCAGGATTCGTAGCTAATGATATTCCTGTCTCCTTGGTGATGGCTGTTTGTGGCTTAAGTAGCAACATCAACAAAGAATCTTGAATTTCATCCAACCACATCGAGAACTACATCGCTTTCAAGAATGCAGAATAAACTCCCAATTGTAACAACGAATCCAGAAATCTATAAGAAGCCAAGACATTTGCCCGGGTAAGTTGACGAATGTTTCTAACCATTTCACGCGCGTATAATATTTTGGCGGGACCACCCGTTAATTTAGTACAGTTTCTGCTCTACAAGAGGATATTAACTGAAGCTTGCGGAAGTTTGTCAATGGCTAAAGTGTTGTCGTTGTATAAACCAGTAAAAATTAGCAGATATGTCGAGGCCCTACTTTACCGAAACGATTTTTGGCTCGGGTCTTTGTGGACGTTCAACGCCTATTCAAATTTGGAATTTGGCCAGCCAATACGATGCAAGCAGGTTCACCTCCTTCAAAAGAGTCTGTCCCTTAGTGACTGTGACCTGGCCTTAGCTAAGGGTCTAGGACAGACACGGTGCTCCCCTCCTCCTGCAGGGGGGGTACCCGAATGAAGTACAAATCTAAAACCCTGACATGCATAATATCCACATTATTAATTGACTTTCGAATAAGATAAAACATGATTAAATTGCAATAGAAAGATACTGTCATGAAAATTAGTTCCCAGCGGGATATGTTGAAATATTCTCCATTTCAGTTACACAGGTCACGTGCATCAGGAGAACTTCCAGTATGGTGAAACATATGGCAACAAAACAGCGAAGTTGTTGTCTCAATATCGCACTGGCAAACTTCAAGACAGCACACTGGGCGTGAATGGGAGAGGAGGCGATGCCCAAATACCTTTTCCGACATACTACGATCATGATCCGAGTCGCGTCATCGGAACACGACCAAGAACTTGGGAACGATGGCAACCGCAACATAAATATGACCTTCTGAACAGCAGTTCACGTGAAGAAAAAATTCGAGATTTCAATAAGGTAGTATTTTTATAATCAGAGATTTTAAGTTTTTCCTAATTTTATTTTCACGGGGATATGTAAGAGCGGGGTGCGATAATTCAAGATTGTGCCTGCGTACCTTGTCTGCGTACCTTGTCTGCATATCTGTACGGAGCTGGTACGAACGAACACAAAGAAGTACCCGACCGTAATATTGGCTCCGGTACCTAAGTACGAGAATTATTGCAGCCTAAAAATATTTGAAGCACTATGTGTATGAAAGAATATTTCTTTGTTTCTGATTTGCAGGCAGCTCAACAACACCGTGAACAGTATAAGGACCACAGTGGAACACGTCCTCCTGTTGATGTCTTTGTTCAACCCAATATTTCATATCCATCTACCATAACAACACAGAGGTAACTTATCAACCCATCGTCAACACCGACCAGGGAGACCACGAGGATCACGGGGACCACGAGGACCTTGAGTCTCTAATTGAAGAGCTGCCGCGAAGAGCTCCACTTGATGTATCTTCGCTTATCAAATGTGGTACTGGATTAATTAAATCATGTTTTCCTGGGAAGAAATCTTGCCAAGCTAACAATTATAATATAATAACACACAATAATTGAACACAATTGCAAATTCAATTATATCAAGAAATTAATTTTCTTTTACATTAGACTTGTTAAAAAATTGCTTAGGCCCTTTGTAGAATTTGGGTGTGAACAATGGGTGACTGAATGACATGGGGGGCAATAGGATTTTCAAAGTGTTGAAACGTCTGAAAAGGCATTATATACTCTCCAACATCGTTGCTAAATCGTTGTCTATTTTGGCTCCTTCAATAAACTCTTCTAAAGATAATTTGCCATCAGAATTCTTGTCTACACGTTCAAATATATCATTGGCCATATCAGACGCAGCGTCATCTTCACTGCCTGATAATTTCTTAATTGCCGTCAATATACCAAGCAGCTCATCCCTGTAGAAGAAATGAACGCACGTTTAATCCTAATTAGTTTCATTCTAATTCCTAATTAGTTATTCTTACCTTGTAATATAGCCGTTGCCATCAATATCGTACATAGTAAACGCCCATTTCAGCCGCTCGTCCACGTTACCTCTTTTCATAACCGACATCGAGACAATCAACTCACGAAAATCCAAAACTCCGTCTCCATTTTGATCAAAAACACGAAACGTGTGTTCCGCAAACTCCGATGGATCCCCATCTGGGAAAAAATTGGAGTAAAGTTTTTTGAAATCCTCGACAGTCATCGTGCCAGTTTTACTGTTCCTTTTAAACTCCTTGTAATAAGCTTTAATTTCTTGTTCGCTGAATGTCGTCGCTTTTGACAAGTCGTTGAGGTCCCGTGGTTTCAGCTTGCTTTGTTCCTTTCCCATTGTTATGGCGAAGCTACAAGAGACAAGAACATATTCAACATAGACCTATGTTTTGAATGCGGAAATGTCGCTTTTCCGAACTGCCATTTTTGATTAACAATTTTAAACAATAGTTCATCCCAATCTATATGTCCCACTGTTGATTTTTGTGGCAAGGCCAAATACCACTTTAGGTAGAGCCACAGAAATATTCGTCTATTATTTCTATGGGTAGACTATTTTTTTTAATACAGGCAGAAATAAACAAACGTAGTAAGATGAGACCTTTTGATGGACAATGTAATATTTCTTCACAAACCTCGAGTTGTAAAATGCACAGTTAGCTGAAATTCGTTAAAACACTGCGTCCTCGAGATCAGAAATATAACTGCTTCTTTGGAGACGTCCAGCAACCTTCATTAGAAGCGTAATTGTTATAATTATCGAACTATAAACCAAGTTCAATGCAGCTAATTAATACAATTGTTACTAATTGGACGAATGAATATCGTAATTATCATAAATTATCAAATTAATCTTTATTAATACTTCTTCAGACGCGCAAATTTTCTATGACAAGTTTTTGGTTTTCTGACGGTAGCTATTATATTGCGACTGCAAACGAAACTCAGTAACATGCACACATACCCGTCCAGTATGCCGCATTCGGCAAGTTTGAAGTTTCTATCGAAATTGAATTTAATTGCGTGAATTAATCGGATCTTGTGTCGTGTTGTTTATGTTGAGTAGTGTAAACTCAATGGCTTCACAGATGGCATTGATAGGAACACAAAACGCGTGGTGTAAAAAGTTACTAATACCATTCGTAACGCCATTACGTCTTGTCGTATATTCGACGGATGAAATACAAAGTTGAAAATATTTTTCACTATATATTTTGCACTATTTTTCGTGCTTTCATAACGTGTTTCCGTCTAAGATCTGTTTGTTATCTCACAGAAATCGTTTCCCTTCCATAATTGATTCATGAAGATTGAAGGATGAGTTCAAACGAGCCACAATAATCGACGCTATGTATTCATCTGCCTCGTTCTTTAATAAAGCTCGTTTTATTTCCAAAACAACTATAATTCATGAAGAATTATATCCAATCTCATGCAGCACTAAATATACGCTTCATGCTGTCGACTGTCGAGCGTATATAGGGGGTATGTTTTAATTAGTTTCTCATCCAGCCTTGATTAGAAAATGATCCTTACCGTTTACTTGAAGCTATTTCCCTCGACTTGGCTAGAAGATCTTCCCTCGGTCTAAAATACGTTCTGTGAAATTCTGATTTTCATGAATGTTCTTTCCGTTTTCAAATGTCTCAGTGACCTCTCACCATGGGGGAGTAATTTATGTTTATTTCATTTCCGCAAACATTTAGAAAATGTCGATAATATCTTGTTGCTATGCGCACAAACACCAGTATAAATATTTAAGAATACCTTCTAAAGCATTCACACTACTGACACTAGACCTGCTAAACTTTTCGAAAAATTGAGAAAAGTGGCGAAAATGACCTTAACTTTTTCTCGAATTTTAACCACTTTTTCATGAAATTTAAGGTCAAGGTCAATTTAAGGCCCTTAATATTTTTTTGAAAAAGTTAAGGCTAACCCCTTACCCACTTTTTCACCACTTTTGGACACTTTGACTTCTGTGCTCTTGTAACGTGCTCTTTCACGTACTCTTTCACGTACCGTGCTCTTGTAACGTGCTTCTTTCATGTACCGTGCTCTTGTGACGTGCTCTTTCACGTATCGTGCTCTTGTAACGTGCTCTTTCACGTACCGTGCTCTTGTAGCGTGCTCTTCACGTACCGTGCTCTTGTAACGTGCTCTTTCACGTACCGTGCTCTTGTAACGTGCTCTTTCACGTACCGTGCTCTTGTAACGTGCTCTTTCACGTAACGTGCTATTGCACACGTGCTCTGCCATCCCGTTGCCAAGACGACTGATATCCAAAATGGCGTACAAATTTCTGTTGTTTTTGTAAATTTATCTTTGAATTCTTATAAAAAATCGACGATAAAAATACAGAATCACAATGCCAACACCTTCAAAATTTGAAGCAGTAGTTCCTTTATGTGGAAATGGTGAGGATAATGAAAATAACTCCTTTGAAACGCGTGATGTGTTTAGCAAAGATATCTTGGACGATAATGCTATGGCGTTAGTTCTAGTTGAAAGAGACAAACTTCAAACAAAGACTAAACAACCAGATGAAGCACAAGGTAAAACTAAAAGTAGTTGTAAAATTGTCACATGATTTGCAAGTTATTAAATTGTTGGAGCTTAAATATGAAGCATAGTTTCAAATTTGTACAAAGAATCTTTACAAATGCATTAAATCAATTTTTATTTCAAATTGTTTTAGTTTAGTATACTGTAGTGATAGTTTGTACCCAGTAATTCCATGTCCCAGTCTTTGTATGAACTATAAATGTGTGCTTGACGTCATCACATGTTGTTATTTCCAGGTCGACTATCAAACTTAATAAAAGGATGGTGTAGATTCTCTTCAACATTTTACAGGCGTGATAGTTGCCAATTTACAACATGTGTTTCCCCCTGCGTCAGAAAGGCAACAACACACCTGCAGCAGCTCAACGATCAGCTAACGAGGTTGAGTGTTGTTCAAGAAGGAACGCAACCAGTGGATTATATGTTGGCAATGTGTGGAGAAGGTAATTGTGTCATTCAACATGTACAAGCAATTTAAACTAAGCTGAGTGTGATTATATTTTCTGTGAGACAAGTCACTATAGCTATGTTTAAATGTTTGTAAAGAAAAAGGTTTTTTTAAGTTGTGACATTGTCAGTTGGAGAAAATTAAATATATTTAATAATATTAATATATCTTTTCTCTGTAGAAAGTCCTGCGTCAGTTATGCCAGAATCCCAACCAATATTGTCCCGACCAGTGTCATACGGTGATACATCAGCAGCATCCAGTATTGAATTATCTACCGTCGGGTTTTCACCTTTGTTTGAAAACACGCCTTGTAGACACTCCAGTACTTCTTCATCACAGGTAAACAAACATTTTACACATTAAATTCTATTTTGTCAAGAAAAAAGAAATATTTTACAAAAGAAACCAAAACAGGTCCCACTAGCACTCAAAATCTGTCATTAAGGGACGGTGCTGTAATTGGGGAAGCACTGCCATTGTCTATATACTAGTGTGTCATATTTATCTTGTTTAGTATGTAAGCTAAATAGAAATAACTAAATAAACTGTGTGATGTGTTTTGTGCTTTATGCTGTGTTTTTGTAGAATAAAACATCATCAAGCTTGGAAAAATCAAACACGTCTGCAGAAAAGCAACATTCAGCACATCAGCATCTAGGTTTTGATGTTGTTGAAGAAGTGGTGAGATTGATGGCTCGAATGGAAGATGATAGATTGTCAACACAACAAATGTTAATCAATGAAAGACAAAGAGTGAATCATTTAAGATCTCAGATTGATCAACTGGCATTTAAACGTTTAATGGATCTCCCTGCTGCTGTTCAGAAAGGCATGAATATATATTTGGTTTTTAAATAATATAATGGTCATAAGAAAACATGGCTAGTTTATATGATTGTTTTGTTTTCACATTATCTTGTGTAGAACACGAATCTTGTGCGACTGACATTAATGAATTAAAATGGCATTGTGGGTATCAAGGAAGAGTCGAGACAAGACTTGGAAGAAAGGTTGATCAGGCAGGTTGGTTCAATGTGATTATGTTTATGTAGGGATATGTTATGAGTGTGAAGAATAGTGTGATGTGGTTGGCATAAAAAATACATGAAAGTTCACATCATTGTAGTCTTGGGCATCTCTGCATGTCCAGTGAGCGTCATTGAGAGATTGTATTGAATATTAAATGTTGTGTTGTTATAGAATTGCAACATTTGAAAATCATTGGTGAGTTACAATCTTCCAAAGAAAGTTGGTAAGTCTAATTTATTTTGTGTCTTTTCTAAGTTAGCCCCTTGAGTCACAATGTGCCCTGATGTGCCGTATTTTTGTTATTTTACTTTGTCTATAATGCCAGATTATTTTACTCTTTCTGCCGCTAGACAATTTTACTTATCAAGGAGAGAGCGCTCAGGTGCTGTTAACTCATTGAGTCGCATTGTGCCCTGATGCGACATACTTTATTATTTTACTCTGTCTAATATGCCAGATTACTCATCAAGGGGAGAGCGCTGCCGCTTGACATGTTAATTTATGTTCAAAATATCCTAGGTCAGCCCTGGAAGACTGTGTGTTGGTCATCATTTAATTAATTATCTAATTCAAATGATGCAGTTTTGAGTTGCATTTACAAACATAAGTAGCGATCAGTGAAATCATATTTGATATTACATTTTGTATGTTTTCATGCTGATAATGTTGTAAATAAATGCACTGAGAAAAATCACATTCTCAATCAATATGTTATTTTTCCTTTAGTCCCTTAGTTCGTGAGAAGCTTGAGCTAGAAGATATTGCGATGGCAAGCATTCAATTAAAACAAGATGAAACTGATGAAGAATTACGACAAACATTGAAACGTCTTGAAGCAACTCAACAGAAAACAAAAGAGGCAAAAGCACTAGCAATTCAAGAACGAACATTGATTAAAAAAGATGTGGACATTATCAGGAACTTACTCAACGAAGTCAGGTATTCAATTGTTTAATCGCTAATAAGTTTAGTTTTTTGTAAGTTTGCATGGCGATAAAACATGCAATACTTTTTGTTTGTGGAAACACCTTGTAAATTTATTATTGCAAAGTTTTCGATCTGTAAGCCCGGATCTTCGTCAGTGCTAATAAATATTTGTAAACATTGTTAGCACTGATGAAGATCCGAGCTTACAGAAAGCTTTGCAGTAATAAATTTATGTGGTGTTTCCACAAACAAAAAGTTTTATTAATAGTTCTGCAACTTATTCAAAGGAAATTATGAAAGATTATTATGGAGAAAGTCAGTTGAAGGTTGTGTTATTTAATGTATTCCTTGTACAATTGTACATAACCCTGAATAAATTGTTTTGATTGTATATAGTGATGAACTTGCGCAGTTGAAGATGAACTACACATCTAATGTACACACCATCAGTGATATCAAGAACACCTTGAAAGAAAACGCTCAACAATGTGTTAATTTAGGTGAGTTTAACTGTTGTTTATCATGGATTGTACGGAAGTATTCAGTGAATTAAGTGCAATTTGAGTGTAGTACTCTGTTCATTAGAGACATGTGAGTTTTTGTTTCAGAAAAACGTGAAGAGTGGGTGAAAAATCAGGAAGCTGCTCAACACGACAAGGTATGATGACAGTTTCAACTTTGATATTGCTGGTTGGATGCGAGGTCATTAAAATTATTGTTGTTTTGTATTTTTTATAGGTTGGAAAGTTAAGAGAAAAAATAGTTGAACAGACGTCGGAGCATGCTAGGTTGACGGAAGAAAATGAAAAATTGAAGAAGGACAACCAAATTATGGTAAGTGTATTATGTGATAAAAGAATATAGCACAATACTAATTTGTTTTAAGACTATGGCATTCATTCTGCCCTGCATGTAATTACTGTGAAATATGACATTGACAGGAAGGAGATTATCAATCGTCTATCACGAAACTAAAGATAGAAATCAAACAATATGAGATACAAGTACGAGAATTATCAAGAAAGAACAAGGCATTGAGAGAGGACATGGATAATATTGTAAAACAAACAGAAAAATTGTAAGTAAAACATAATATTCCATCTCAATTGATGGGCAGGCTGGTGAACTATAATATTAAATTATTATTTTTGAATTAACAATACAATGATGCCTCTAGTAAATACTACAATTCATAAAACCCTAATTATATTAATCCTATTGTAACATTGACCAGTGCCCTTCCATATAAGGGAAGAGCATCAGCCGTCAATGTTTGTAAGTTATTATCAGAAGACAACTCATGCTAACAGTCCAGATCAGAGACTCCAGATCAGAGACTCCAGACTCCAGATTGCATTTCTCTGCTTATCCGATCTTTCTCATTGTTAAACAATTCTCTTATATCATTTTTCAGCCAATCACTGATGGTATGACTCTGTGTCCTTCCCGTCTTTCCCGTAGTTCAAAACACAGCTACTACTTTATTTCAATACGGAACTATTTCGCAATATAAAACTAACTATATAGAGAGAGAAAACAAAATGAGTGATCTTCCAATGGGGATTCTATGTATTGTTTTTCACAGTAAGAAGCAGAGAACGTCAGAAAAGAAAGCGTTAATCAGAGCTGGCCAGGAAGCGGAAAAAGTGAAACAGCACATCGAGGTTTGTAACATGAATGTACGGTACCACATAGTTCACGTATGTTGTATGACATCATCATTCGCAAGTCAAGGAGTACAATTTATTGCCCAGTTTCCAACAATGAACACAGTTAATCTTGATTCTTTTTGTTATCAGAGATACATGGTAGTCTTGCTCTCAGTCTGTCTAAGTTTGGAAAACCTTGACACAAACGCGAGCTCTTGACGACCATAAGAACGGTCTTTAATTATTTTCAGATGATGAATGAAGAAGTGAAGAAGCTGAAAACTCTGAACCATTCATTAAAGTTGGCCAAAGCTCGAGCTGAGGAAGATTATTTTACTGAAGAAGATTCTTTGAGAACTGCGGAACAGTCGTTGAAAAATCAGTTGAAAGAGGAGTCACATGCAAGGACCATACTCCAGGTAAAATTACATCGCATCTATTTAGCAAATGTTTCGATCTGACAGCCAGGATCTTCATTCAACAACACAGTACAAGTTCTTTGTATGTTTGCATGGCGATAAAACATATAATAGTTTTGTTTGTGGAAACACCACGTAAATTTATTACTGCAGTAATAAATTTACGTGGTGTTTCCACAAACAAAACTATTATAACACAGTATATAATTTATGTTTACTCTGATGAAGTCTTCTTCTTTACCAAATAGATATGCTATACAGTATCATATTTCAAGTAATTGTATTTCCTATGAAGATTGCTGTTTATACAGCGTCGTCACCGTTTCTTTGTCGTCCTCCAATGATTTTTTGTCGCGTTTATTCAGTACTTACAGTTCGCTTTTGTTGGTGAACTTTAGGCACGCATTGCAACGGACACTTCAGATTTACTCCGATCACGCATTGACTCAAAGAAGAAAAAAGAAAAGGTAGGGGTATTCTTATGTACAGTATCTCCATTTGTACCCTAGACTGTTTACGATTTAGTGACCTAGGAAACGGAGATATATGTACCCCAAAAAGAATGCATGATTTGTAATATGACAGGAAAACGTGCCATGCATCTCTTGAAGAGCTTGCTTAGGAAATATTGACATGTTTTGATTAGTCTGTAATGCCACAATGTTCTAATGTTACCTACATTATCCGTTCCAGATGTCTCAACAAGCTTTGGACGCAGATAAAGTTCTAAATAGCATCAGAGAGCAAGTGGAGAGACTGGAAACAGTTCACAGTGAACGGGAACAGGTAGGAGAAGCAAGCGACGTTTTTTTAATACACATTCGCGGACGTCACGCATCATTTAACCACAGAGTACTTTACATACAGAGGTCTTACCGTAAGGTAGTTTTTAACAAAATAACTGGTAAATTTCAATATGTTTTCAGGGGGTGACAGCTTTAGGGCACATGCTAAAAACATGGCGGACTTAAAAAATCTCTTACGCTAAATTAACTGAATTAATCAAGAACAGAATAGAAACGTTTATGATTGATTTGGAACAAGAACGGATGAGAGTATAGATATAAACTTTTCATAAACCCATTTGTCCAGAACTAATTTTGTCTAAATTTCCTCCAGACTATTGCTCAGATCAGTGAAGTCCTAGAGAAGTTGAACAAACAACGGGAAGAAATGGAATCAAAATACCGAGCAAGGATTGTCGAGTTAAGACCAAAGGAAGAACAGAACAAGGTATAGTATGGTTAACTGCGCCTCTCTTAATGAAAATACTGGAGATTACAGGCGAACATCCGCTCCTCGGGCATCCCACTCGACAGAAATTGGTTCCGAGTTCAATAGAATAAACATGTGTGATGTTGATCAATAAACATGTGTGATGTTGATCAATAAACATGTGTGATGTTCATCAATAAATATGTGTGATGTTGATCAATAAACATGTGTGATGTTGATCTATAAACATGTGTGATGTTGATCAATAAACATGTGTGATGTTGATCAATAAACATGTGTGATGTTGATCAATAAACATGTGTGATGTTGATCAATAAACATGTGTGATGTTGATCAATAAACATGTGTGATGTTGATCAATAAACATGTGTGATGTTGATCAATAAACATGTGTGATGTTATAATATTTGTGATGTTACTCTGAGTGTATATCCACACCGGGCGAGCTTGAAAAATATGCCCGGCCACGGTGGGATTCGAACCTACGACCTTTGGAATACTAGCCCAAGCTCGCCCGGTGTGGATATACACTCAGAGTAACACCACAAATATCATATTCACCTGAGTACACTATACCAACACAGAACAAATGTGTGATGTTGATCAATAAACATGTGTGATGTTGATCAGTAAACATGTGTGATGTTCATCAATAAACATGTGTGATGTTCATCAATAAACATGTGTGATGTTCATCAATAAACATGTGTGATGTTCATCAATAAACATGTGTGATGTTCATCAATAAACATGTGTGATGTTCATCAATAAACATGTGTGATGTTCATCAATAAACATGTGTGATGTTGATGTTGTTGCAGCACGAAAGACTGGAGCTACAGCAGAAGATTGATCATATTCAGTGGAGGTCCGACATGATGTCGACGAAAATCAAAGATATGTCATCTTCAACTGTCATGATGACGAGGGTGATTGACTCCACTGCAGAAGATATTGCTAAATTGGAGTAAGTAGTAAAATATTTCTGCTTTTCGTGCAGGGTTTCACGGCTGACTCAATAAGCTAGTTCAGTCTAGTTCAGAGCCAGTCAACGCCACACGATTCCACTGATCATCAGCGGAGAGTGTTGCCAACTCAAGGGGTTAATGAACTCATTCTTACTCAAGCATTACTGGTATTATTTAATGTTTCGCCATTATAAGCCGGTCAGCGGTTTGATTTGTTGTTTGAGTTGGTCGGGGGAATGAGTAAAAAAGCTGTATACGATTTTATTTTAACAGAGAGGACGACAAGGAAGTGAGAGTTCGTCTTGAAGCGAGTAATGATGCAGAAGACAGTTTAAAAGAAGTTCTTCAAGCAGCTAAAGGTAACATTTTCTCATTCTGGTTAAACTTTATAAGCGTTTTTGCGTATATACTCTATTTCAGATTATTGCTAAAATATTGTATTGAAGGAACATATATGAACAAGATAGTTTTTTTTTAGATCGTTTGTTGTGTAGAAAAAAGGAACATATCTTGCACGTTAACAACAGAAAGTTAGCTTTGCATCAAACTTCGGTAGGTAAACACCTTGACAATGTCAGATTGCAAATTACGTATAAACTATAACGTGCATACTGGACGCTACTGCACATTTGCAATAGTATTTTAATGATCACTATTGATTTAGATTGCTCTTGATGAGAAGCTCGCAGAAAACAAGGCTCTAGCAGAAAGATATCAAAGACTTTACAGTCAACATTTACAAACCAAGGATTTGTTCTTCAAAAAATACGAAAACATCGTTAATGAAGAAAGTCATTTGAAAGATCATAAAGAGGTATGATACGTCAAAAAGTTCATGTATTGTTGTTACGAGATCTTATTTTGTGACAGTCATGAAATTCATTGCAATATGAAATGCCTCCTTAGAATACTGACCTTACCGTGACCTTATAGGGATATACATGTAAAGCCGGTTTAATTTTTCTTTGTCTTGTGATTTTTCCGTCCTATGTCTAGTCAGTCTAGAGTATGCTTATCGAAAAACCATAGGTCCGAATACGCACACAATTTCATTAAGCATGCTTAAAAATGTACCGCGCTTGACTTACCCTTGGTGAACAATGAAATTGTTGCGTTATCCCTTACCGATATGATCCCTTGATTTTTGGCGATAATATTTACACCGTATTGTTTCTTTTTTCCAGTTGTATACGTTACAAGGTCGGCTACGCGAGTGTCTTCAACATTACTACAAGCTACGAGGCTTGCAGAACAAATCTCAAGTGGCGCAGTTCAAAGTAAACAGCAAGCACAACAATGATAAACTGTTTCAGCTGAAACAAGAATTATCGGATGTTGTGATACACATCAACGATTTTTTAAAAAATATTTCTGAATCTCACCAAACAATTTCTTTGAAAGACTACAAAGAGACGTCAATTGTGAGATGACTACCAGCTTCTTCCGTTCATTAATCACCGTGATATGTCATTTATATTCACCAAATCGCCTCGCATTGCAATTTGCTATTTTTTATTCTCCCTCTGTTACTTCCAATGTGTATTGAAAAGTGGTCAATATTAAAGTGGCTATGTTGTATTATAAATGAACGTAAAAATTTGAGCTGAACTCTGGTGAAGGAGATATTCACGCGACATGTATTTAGCGTCAGACCAGCGTGGCTCAACCGCAGGCAAAGAGTTCATTTGAAAGCTTTTGCAGCATTAACGTTTTCTTAACTCTTCCCAAGCGAGAACGAAACTCGAATGAGAATTGATTAAATATTACGGCGCATGTATAGCGAAACGTTTCGTCGAAATTAGAACAAGCTCCAAATTATTTGACGATTTTATGAAATTCAGTAAAGTTCTACCATAAATACATGTATTACGACGACCCCTTCATTAAATTTATTACATAATTAAATTAGCATTAATAACGAACAATCTAGAAGTATTACAAAATGAAATCAGACAACTAAACAACATGTTTTAATTTTGTATTGTTTTAAAAAACCATCCAGAGACCTGCCCTTTCTACATTTAACACATACGGCATGCCCGACAATCATCACAGCTGTGTTAATAATAACTCTTCACAGTGCAGAAAGGGCATATATGAAAATTCAAGCCCTCTGTCCCATTTCTGGCAGAAATGAGTCCAATGATACCGAAGGGGAGGGGAGGGGTGGAGGCCGGGTAATAGTAGGGGATTCGGGTCACAGAATAAGGAGATTCGGGCTTTTTCTCGCGGGCGACAGCCCGAGATAGGGGGGACATATAATGTTGTGTGTGAAGGACAGGGGACATTTGACTATTTTTGGAGAACAGGACTGGTTTGCTTTCGCCTCCTGCACAGACGCTGTTAGCCATAATTATTTTATGTTTTATACTCATAGTTTGATAATATATTGTATATTTGGGCAATTTTAAGTCGATTTAACTAACGAAAAATTCGGCCACATACATCTGGTACAACGCAAAATATTGAATTCCATCGTTGACATGATGGTATAGTGGTAAAGACTGAGGCCAGCATGAGCAAAAGTTGTGGACCATTCCCAGGTAAAAATTTCGTAACTTTTCGTATAATTTTTTTTTATTTCTTTTTGCCATTATTTTTCCCAGAAGTCTCCGGATCACTGCTCATAACAGCTTCATGCTCATATTGTGATAATATTTTGTATATTTGGACAATTTTGAGTCGATTTAACCAAAGATGACGAGGGATGAACAAAGATGTAGAAGGATGAAGGGAATCCTATATGTGGGGTGAAATCCAAAAAATCTACATACAGCTGGTACAACGGAAAGAAAAAAACAGACGTCTTGTAATCTGTTACCTGCTTCCATCGTTGACATCATGGTATAGTGGTAAAGACTGAGGCCATCATGCATGAATGCTGTGGATCGCTCCTACGTAAAATACTCGTCATTTTTCGTTTAACTGAACGTCGTGAAGAAGTGAATTCTTATGCGGGGTGAAATCGAAATATACTATCTGCATTTATCATGATATGGTGGTAAACACCGAGGCCGTCATGGGCGAAAGTTGTGGACCTTTCCCCGGTATAAGTCTTGTACATTTTTCGTACATAATTTCTTTTTATTTCTTTTTTTTGCCATTATCTTTCCCGAAAGTCTTCAAATAGCTCCCCATAACAGCTAATACCCATATTTTGATAACATGTTGTATATTTGGACAATTTTGAGTCGATTTGACCAACGATGACGAGGGAATGAACAACGATGTATACCGATGAACAGATTCTTTTGTAGGGTGAAATCCAAAAAATCTACATACAGCCATAGTACAACGGGAAATAGAATACTTAAGTATTGACTATTGCATGTAATTTGTTACCTGTTTGATCGTTGACATCGTGGTATAGTGGTAAACACCGTGGCCATCATCAGCGAAAGTTGTGGAGCAGTCCGAGCTAAAAGTCTCCTAACTTTTCGTATAATTTTTCTTTATTTCTTTTCGCCATTATTTTTTAAAGTCTCCAAATCGCTCGTCACAACAGCTTAATGCTTATATTTTGATAATATTTTGTATATTTGGACAATTTTGAGTCGATTTAACCAAATACTTTTACCTTTTTCTTTAATATTTTTATCATTATTTTTCCCCGAAACCTCCAAATCGCTCCTTATAACAGCTTAATAGTCATATTTTAATTTTATTTTATGTATTTGGACAATTTTAAGTCGATTTAACCAAAGATGACGAGGGATGAACCAAGATGTACAAGGATGAAGAGAATCCTATATGTTGGGTGAAATCACAAAAACCTACATACAGCTATATTACAACGGGAAATAGAATATTTAAGTATTGACTATTGTAATTTGTTACCTGTTTCATCGTTGACATCATGGTATAGTGGTAAACACTGTTGCCATCATGAGCGAAAGTTGTCGATCATTCACAGCTAAAAGTCTCGTAACTTTTCGTATAATTTTTTCTGTACTTCTTTTTGCCATTATTTTTTCGAAGTCTCCAAATCGCTCCACATAACAGCTTAATACTTATATTTTGAAAATATTTTGTATATTTGGACAATTTTGAGTCGATTTAATGAAGGATGACGAGGGATGAACAAAGATGTAGAAGGATGAAGAGAATCCTATATGTAGGGTGAAGTCCCAAAAATCTACATACAGCTATAGTACAACGGGAAATAGAATATTTAAGTATTGACTATAGTATATTATAGACTATAGAATATTTAAGTATTGACTAAGTTGCTTTTATTGCAACTGTGCATTGATTTTTTTTTCAAATGAAACGTACGTTGAGGTCAGATATCGGATTTTATCGAATATCGGTAAATTCCGGATTATGTAAATTACCGGTCACTCCGATGACGAAATTTGAAACATAAGTTTTTAATATGGTTCAGGACATTGAAGCAAGGGTTACAAGAGATTATGCAATAGATCATGTTATTATGCAGAGTTGCAGCCTTACGTCTGTCAGAGGAAAGCCCATGATCTCACTTGGTTTAAGTGGATTTTCAGACCTTCTGTCCATTGCGCTGGTTTCGCCATCCTGCCGTTTGTGCCTGGCGTATAATTGCGCAGTAGCTATATATGCTTATTTTCTGCATTTCTTAGATCCACTGTGGACCAAGTAGGCGACGTTTTGAAGGAAGTTCTTTTTTCCGCCATAAACAAATCGGGAAAATCTCCCAAGAAATTGTGCCCTGAAAGAATACATAGTTTTGCTGAAGATACTCCAGTGGACAGACTGCCTTGTTATCACCAGAGAAGCGATTCTGTTACTTCAGTAATTATTCCAGACAGTTTAGTCACAGAGACTGTAAGTTTAATTCCAGAAACAATACGCGCTGTGTCCACGTCCTCGATACACTTGAGTTACGAGAAACCTGAGCCACGAGATAGGAGATTGGCAAGCGATAGTTTTGAAGCATTTTTAGATGAAGTGATGTAGTCGTAGATCATTATATCGCCACAGGCTAACCCTAAGTTAAGTTATTATATGACGAGATAGGAGATTGGCAAGCGCTAGTTTTGAAGCATTTTTAGATAAAGTGTTGTTGTCGTAGATATCGCAGGCTTCAAAATATCGCACAAATCTTCATTAATTAAAACAAATTTCCTGCGCTGTTTAACATTTCCTGTGAGCAGTGCTTGTGTGCTCGCCTATTTTTTCCACCCCTGCTGCATAACTTTGTGACTTGTATCGGCATATTTTTTAAAGAAAGCTTGAGCAGTAAGTAGATGTGAAGTACAGTAGATGTAACCTTTTATACCATAAATAGTAATTGGAACAAAAGAAATTATATGTTTTATGTTGCTATGCATGTTATCAGTAATGAAGTGTCGCAATCGAAGGAAATTGTTTCTTTCCATCTTTTGTTTACGCTATGTATATACACGGCTACAAGCAAAATATTTGATATGCAAGCATTGTTATATTAAATAATCAGTGAAGGTGATTTGTTATTAAAACAAAATGATTTAAGATTTTTACTTTTATGCCTATTCAACTTTTATACTGTATCGCATCTTGATTCTTGAATTAGCCTGATCACAGCAACAACAAAAAAACTATTGAAATAATACGTTTTATTAGAATGCCTCGGCACTCTGCTGAAAAAGCACAAGTGCATAAAAGCTTGACATAAGTAAATTTTATGCATTCAAAAGAGAGATTTCTATATAATATGCGGTGTTATGACCAGTGGCAGTCAGTGGTTTGCCCCAGGGGGGGGGGGGGTAGCGGCCATTCCCACAGGATTTGACAGCTACCTGCTCCCCCTGGGTCAGGAATTTGCAGGCCTTAAAATATCTTTTCCAGGGCCGTCTGGCAAAATGTCCGGTGACGTTGAGTTTGGGTCAGACATATGTCCGATGACCTTCAGTTCATTTTTGACTCGGAAATAATGAATGACACAAATGAATAAACGGTAAATGTTGTAAAGATATTAAATAATTTGTTTCTTTCATACTTATTTCCAAGCCAAAATTAACTTGCTTGCCAGAACAGCAGTATCAGAAAGACTTCGACAACTTAAGCCCGTTTTCCACTTGACCATTTCGCTCGCCGCCCCGCGCTCGACTGGGTTAAAACAACATTTCCAGTTTACCTTTTATACAATAGTACTCTGATTTTCCATTTAACATAAAAGTCTGCCTCTAGTCCTGGCCTCCTGGGCTAGGGTACATTTTGATGTACGTCGGACAAAGCTACAGTTCGGTCGGACACCAACACACTCGGGTCGGACAAACAATAAACCTCAGTTTCACTTAGGTCGGACAGAATGTCCGGTGGTTTCTTTTCTACGTCGGACAATTTCACGAATGGGTCGGACAATGTCCGTGACCGACCGATATTTTAAGGCCTGGAATTTGACAGAAACATGCATCACAAGGGTTGGGAATTTGAGAATTTTAAACTCACATCTTTAATCATGAGGCCTTGGAACAAGTTGAAGAAATAGCATCATATTTTTCTTTTTTTGTGTATTTGGTTGTTAAAATTTTTTTCCACTTGCCATGTCAAATCATGTGGGTAAGCCCAATACCCCTGGGGCAAACCACTGATTGGTACATTATACTGTGGTGGGTTCTCTTAGGTGGCTTCAAATCCCCAACGTGCGCTTTACAAAGATAATTCTGAGCAAACATTTTCTGAATGTCTTTTCTAAGGACCGGCCATTAATAATGGGAGGAGGTTGGTGGGTGATAAATACCAAATATTGACTTTTTAAAGCCTCCCCCAATCACAAGATTTTTATTTTCAAGACACCCCCACCTTCATCTAGAAAATTTATCCCCCCCTCTAACATTTAATTTGTTACATTTTTGGTATAAAATAAGTAATGGGACAAGTACTGTGGAGCAGTATTCAAAATGTTATTTACTCTGACTCCTATGGTGAACTCATATACATAATAAACTATAGAAACTACAATTATAGCAGGTAAAAAAGGTTTAAATATTTTGAAAATGAGTTAGAAAGTATTAAAAAATTGGGATCACCCCTTGTTACATATTTTCAGTTTGAGGCTGCCAGCCAAAAGTAGTTGAAACCGGCTCCCTTTTCTCACACACTGCCCCCCCCCCCCCATCAGATAAATGAAAAATCACAAGACAAAGAAAAATTCCTCTCAGCGCGGAAAATTCCACCTATAATTGAAAACCGCTCAAGTGCGATGTCCCACTGGGCAATTTTAGGGAAATTCGCAATGCAAATGATGTTAATCAAATTTGATTGACTCGTCAAGATTTGCATTGCAAAATTTTCCTGTGTTTGTCAAGTTGAGCAAATCAGAGTCGTTTCTCTGCAGATTGTGCCCAATCAAAGACTGATAATTATCTCATGAATAGATTGGACAGCATGCGAGGCAAGTTTGAAGCTGGGCGTGCATTTTTGTACAAGTTGTGAACGACGTGTGAAGTCTAAAACTTCAAGAATATAAAGAATCTTCTCATACAACTGCAAGAATAAAGAATCTTCTCATAAAACTGCTACGATAGAAGAATTTACTGGCGAAAAATGTATGTATAAAGGTAATTCAAACCGAGTATTTGATTCAAACTAACGGCTTTTGCGATTGCCGATCGGCGGTCGGTTGAAACCAGTTTTATTTGAAATTTTACTGCTAAATGTTATCAGTTTTGATTCAATTTTCAGCCTTCATGGCTCATGCAGTACTTTCAGGTAGCTAATATGTTTGTATTTCCTTTATTTTAGAACGAAATTGTCCAACGAAATTGTCGAGAAATTTTTGTACAGGTACATTGATCATTGTATGCATTAAGATGGATTCAGCTTTTGAGTTTTGTATTAATCTATTTAAGATAAAACGTTCCTTCAGGATTAATAAGTATTTAGAGACTGGTTGACTCGGATTTTAACAAATTTTTACCCGAGAAATGTGGCCATTTGTCTGCGTTCTGAACACGTGTTCGGCAGCACAACTTGCAGATACTGAAATAATTTGATGCATGCATGGTTGTACTTCATCCCGAAGTTTGAAAGCTACAAATTGCGCGTGTGATTTGTCATTGCTTTCGCGTGAAAATTTTAACGTGTTACCTTTATTTTCTAGGCCTTAAAGCAAAACTGCAATCGGCCAGTAAATGTGCGACAACAGGTGAATATACTTTTAATATATAGATGGGTTTTGGAGATGGAATATTCGAAGGTAGATTTATACCTAATGGGCGCAGTTGTGAAAAATACAACTTCAAGCCCTCTGGAGTGATCGCGACGTGTGGCTCTGCGATTTCGGTACAGCGATCTAACCGACTGAGCTTCCGAGTCCAGTAGCTGAGACCTATATTCCTATGAACTTTACTGTTCAAATGCTAAGCATTTTGCCATCTCGTTTGATAGATCAAAAACTATTTTAACCGAAAACATGCACAGACCCTTTTATGAATGGTGAACAGGCTTCTCCTTCGTACGACAGCCCCATCCCACAGTGTGAGCTCTGTGCTTCAGGTGTGTTGATAAATGTAGATAAGTCAATGGCATTAAAATTATTGCTTTCCTTACCATGCATGGTTGCATTTTCTTATTTTTTAGAAAAAAATTGCCATATACAGAGAAAGATGACTTCGTCTTTGGGACTTCAGGATAAAAACCAACGGTATGTTCCTAGTTATTTTGCCTTATTGACCGGTTTTTAATATTATCCAGATAGGATAAAAACGACTCTTGTACACACAATTATATTTATAATAACTAAATGTTAAGCTATCTTTAAAAGCGATCAAATTGTTTTAATAGGCTTTTTCATATAATGAGTAGAAATGATATTCAGCTTTTGTATTGGCCTATTGCTTTTAATGTCGAGATAAAACATCTGGTGCTTACGTAAAGGACTACTGAGTTAACATGAACCGAAGACGAAGCGCGTATAAAACGAACGTATATTCAGTTATGTAAGTTTGCAAACGTAAGAATTTAGCCGTTGACGCTTTTATTTGTTTTTGAAAACTGAAAATCGCGTCCAAGAGGTGTAAAATCAAGATTGTATGCATGTGCACTATAAACAAAAAGAAGTGTTTTCGTGTATAAGTGACGGTCTTTTCACGTCCGAAGTGAAGATCTGCATGTTGATTTTCTCGCAAATTCATTTCAATTTGCTTAGTTGACCTGCATCGCACATGATTTTTAATTTTTGACGCGAGAATGTGCGTAGTTTTTTATGCAAATTTTGAAGTTTACAATTACGTTAATTCGCCTTGCTTGAAAGCAGTTATACAATACACATTGTAGAAGACAGTTTTTGTACGAATATATTCTACCAACGAATAGAGTAGAGGCAGCCAATAGGGAATGAACGATTGTTTCGTTTCGAGGCTATTCGTTCGTTTACGTCCTTCGGTGCATAACTGAATACTTGAAGCTATTCTATAGTGAAGGGGACCGCGTTTGGCAACGTTTTGGATTTCGCTCGTGAAATTTGTCAATGCTTTCGAGTGTCGGAAAATTTTAATGTGTTAACTATTTTCTAGGATTGAAAGCAAACCTGCAAAATACCACCACGTGCAAGACGACAGGTGAATACTTTTAATATATAGATGGGTTTTGAAGATGAATATTCGAACGTAAATTTATATACATAGTCATGCGGCACTGCGATTCCGGTGCAGAGATCTAACTGACTAAGCTTTCAGAGTCCAGTAGTTGCTGAGAGTCTATATTACTATAAACTGTATTGTTCAAATGCTAAGCAGTTGGGCATTTCGTTTGATAGACCAACCGGCACTATTTAAGGTGAAAAGGTTTCATACAACGCCCTTGTCCCTACGCCATTTTCTTACCAAGTTTGCATTTTCTAATTTTTAGAAAAAAATCACCATATCCAGAGAAAGAAGACTTTCCTAAATGAGAAACTTGGAAGACTTTTGAGGACAAATTTGGTGAACTTCGGCCTTTCCTAAATGCATACAAATGCAAAAATTACAAAATAATAAATACGGAATTTCATCGTACTTTTTCATCACAAAATGCATGAACTGGAAGATGCTGGTAATGTTCGACTGTGGTGCTAATTTTCACGGGTGGCAATTGTGTGTGCGTGCGGGATGGCGCCGTCCTTCACGTACTTCCTTCGGGCCAATTGACATGCGCGGGGAATTAACATTATAGCCAGACGTTCGACGTATGTTACAGTTATTAACAAGGTTGGCACTAATTTTCAGACCTTGCTATACGCTCAAGTCCAAACTAAGTATGTGTCAACAATCTAGTTTTGTTTAGGCTTTATAACACTCTACTGTTTATCTTGCTTGAATTTTCATTTTTTTTGGATTACAGTCTAGTTGAACCAACCCTGTTATTGAATTTAACTGACTGTTTCGAATAATGAGCAAATACAACTGATTTATGGGCCCGTCTTTTGAATTTTCTGTATGTTCGAAACAATAGCTAGGTAGAATTGTGTGACTTTCCGGACACTAAAACATAGGAGTGAGAAATGACAGTTGCAATGAGTTACAGAAGAGTGTTATTGTCTGTATCTATATACTGGTTTCCAGGCCTTGCTTTATGCTAACGGTCTTGCACTCGTTTCCAGAGTGAGAAAATGCATGCATGATATTGCAAGTCAATACTAAATGATTCGGCTATAAGGGATGAGTTAATTGTTCGCGATTCAGTGTTCTTAGTCGTGCGGATTTCATGTTTGATATTCGTGTTGTGTTAGGGGATACTCGGGTGGCTGATCATTGCTCAAAGGGAAGGTATCTTAGGGGAAGGAGAGCCTCATTTGTAGTTCGCTACAATTGTGGAACCGGCCTCTCTTCTCATGGCATCCTCCGGGAGTTTGTTATAACATCCTTGGTCTAACATCCTTGTTAGAACAGCTTGTTAGCAGGCTTGATCGGTTTAACCTTGGTAGTTTATAATCACGCGGTCTCTGAGGCGATGGTACACAACAGTCCCAATTAAGGGTGAAGGTGCTGTTAAATAGCTGACGATAGAGATAGGTTGTAACTTCTAGCGTAATTCGGATGATGAACATTGAATTCCTTGCACTCATTCACTAAAACACTGTTGACTGGGCAACTAATACATTCCAATAACAACAATTTGCAAAAAATCCTAGGAAATTTTGTATTTGCATGCTACATGGAATGCCTTTCGCAACCAATATTTGCCACATGTAATATGAAATGGAGGTAAAGATGATGCAACGAAGGCTAGCTCTGAATACAATGAAGTTAAAATAATATGGAGACACAAAAGTTGATGCAAAATGCTGATTGACTATGTTATCAAATGGATATAGCAACTTATCTACCTTTTCTGGATTAACCTGTGCAATAAACTGTCTTGGTATGGATTCAACTGTGTAATAAACTTGTTATGGATTAACCTGCATCATAAAACTGTAACTATAGGCCATGCTTACATGATTCATTTTTGGTACGACACGCTTAAATTTTGGACGCGATCAACGTTTTTTGGCCAGGCCTATTGCGTTTATACGACAACAAATAAAGGTTTATGCGCTCAAAAATATGATTGGTTTGCATGCCTCAATTTATGTGTGTCGTGCCAAAAATGAACGTAAAAAGTAAACAGGTCTTGTGTTGTCAGCAGAAGTCAACTGGACATAGCAACGTAGCAGCAGATTGACCAGCGTTCAGTAGCTTGGAACTTACTGGATTAACTTGTGCAATAAACTGTCTTATGCATCGATTAACCTGTACTGGTTTAACATGAATCATAAAACCTCCATCAAATTGCATTACAAGCTGCCCTTTGAACTCTTGACGTGCACATGGAAACTGAAAAAGACGTTAACATGGACTGGAGATACTAAACTGAAAATAGCCATATAGTATTGTAAGTATAAACATGAACTCCTTATTATACGGTGTATGAAAAAGTACTAAAACTGAAAATTCTGCAACATTTTTGATAATTTTATGTTTGGTATGTAAGAATTCAGTATTATAGCAAATTAGTTTCATCTCTAAATGTTTCTTTACAAAATGCATTTGTCCTATAGGCTGTGTCAGGATTACCAATCATTACCCCAAATATGACCAACACAAAATTGCAATAATTTACTCAAAGAAATGTTTTTCCAGGTACACATCCAAAGAATATGGTCTTTTCAATGCGACTGGAATTGTTAATGAATTGAGAATTGTTGATGGTGAATTAATGCATTACAGAAATCGTGTCACTTTCAGGAAGCAAATAATATAAAAGGTCAATTGGTTTGGATTGGATTGCCATCAATAGGTCAGTCCTGTGCTATTGAATTGCCTTGTTCTTTAAAAAACTCAATGATATGTCTAGCTAGTTGCCCTCAAATACAGGCAAAGCTGCACGGCAAATGGTGATCAACTTTGAGAATATTGACACTGCATCTCTCAGTTCCATTAATTTATCACCAAATACAAGACTTCTGCAAAAATGAAAAGCATTGACATATTCTACCACACTGTAACTGCATGTTGATTACCACATACTACAATAATGCTCAGTGAAACCAAAACATTATTACTTTATATTTTTAGACATTTGTTATTCTTTGCATGAGCACAAATGGATATTAATATTGTGACTTAAACCAGAGATGGATGATCCATTTGGATGAACTTGAAGATGATCTCTCTGTGCAATCCGGTCTCTGAAACACATGGGAATATTACGTACATCTGAATGCCTTTGAAACCGTGTTTGAAAAGTATTGTCCTCTGGATATGAAGATATTACAATGGTGGGTAACAGTGTGACATACACTGTGATTATAAATGATAATATGATGGACACACATAAATTAATTCATTAACAGATCGAACTCAATTGGATATGATAAACTGGTAAAAATGTCCATATAAAACTGACTTACTGTAGCCAGATTAATCTGTATTTGAACTTTGAGACCATAGTTGATTGACCAGCATTCTAGCTTGGACCTTACTGGATTAACCTGCATAATCTTCTAATGGATTAAACTGTGTAATAACTGGTTTTTACAAGATTAATCTTCATTATAAAACATTCTTGGATGTATGAACTTGCATCATGAGCTGCTGGCCTTCAACTACTGAATGAACCTGTATGGAAGCAAGACTGTACTGGATTTGCATATAAACTGAAAGGATTTTAACCTGGGACTTAGAGATACAGCTACTTAATAATATTACGTGGTGAAGATCTGAAGATAATGAAGAAGACAACGACTTATATAAATCAAAACTGCTGATTGGAGTTTACCATGGTGTTTATCAACTGGACTAAAATGAATTTGGACATTAAGTACTGTAAGTATAAACAGGGAATGAAACTGCTTATAAAAAGTGCTAAAATGAAAATTCAGCAACATTTTTGGATAGGTTGGGGTCTGCTAGTATTTCTAACACAAAATTATTCTGAAAAGCAAATTTTCGGGTGCATCACGCCTGTTTTTTAAAATTACTTTAAAAATGGCTTGTGCAGAAAAGGGTATATTTCAAATGCAATTTGAATGCATAGGGTGCAAATTAAGAATTGTGCATGGGTTTTGTAGATGGAAATTCTAAATGTGAATTGTATACATTTGTGTGTATGCACATAAAATTGTCTTGTTGCATCCTATGAATTCAAATTCTGTTTTATGTTAAGCCATTTTTAAAATTGTTTCAATTACTTTTCAGAATAATTTAATGATAGAGATACAAATTTTGCACAATTACTGTAGTTTCTTTAGTTCTTCTTAAAGTTGTTAACAGTTAACAAGCCCACTTACATGCACCTGCTTTGCATGCTACAACCACATGGGGCATCTGCTTAGTATATTGCATCGAATTACAAAAGTTTTGATATTCAAATTTATTCAAATAAACATTTTGGATATTTCCATTTTGCTTTTTAAAAGAAGAGAATGGTTAACTATTCACAGTTGTTATGGGTATGAATACAGTATTATAGTAAATTCCATCTCTAAATATTTCTGTACAAAATGCATTTGTCCTATAGGCTCTGTCAGGATTATCAATCATTACCCCAGATATGACCAACATAAAATCAGAATAATTTACTCAAACATATATTTATCTAGATACACATCCCAAGAATATGGTCTTTGTTTTCAATGAACGAGAATTGCCACTGGAAGACAGTTGATGCTTAATGCATTATATTCAAAAAGCAAGATAATACAGTGTGAAAGGTCAATTGGATTGAAATATACAGTCATCAATAGGTTAGTGCTGTGTTATTGAATTGCTTTGTTCTTTAATACACTCCTTCTCAACGCTCTGTCTATTTGCCTTCAAATACAGGCAAAGTGACACAGCAAGTGGTGGTCAAATTTGAGCATTTTGACACTGCATCTCTCAGTTCCATTAATTTACCACTTCTACATCAATTGAAAAGAATTGACATTCTACCACTCTCGTAACTGCATGGTGATGTTGATTACCACATACTACACAATAATGCTCAGTAAAACCACAACATTATTACTTTATATTTTTAAACATTTGTTATTCCTTGTTAGCACACATGGATATTAATATTGTGATTTAAACCAGAGATGGATGATCCATTTGGACGAACTTGAAGATGATCTCTCTGTGCAATCCGGTCTCTCAATCACATGGGAATATTACACACATCTGAATGCCTTTGAAACCGTGTTCAATAGAGTATTGTCATCATCGATAATGGATATGAAGATATTGCAATGGTGGTTAGCTGTGAAATACACTGAGATTATAAATGAAATATGGACACACATAAGAACTCAATTGGATATTATAAACTGGTAAAAATTTCCATATAAAACTGACTTACTGTAGCTTGATTAATATGTATATGAACTTGGAGACAGTAGTCGTTTGGACAGCATTCTTGCTTGGACCTTACTGGATTAGCCTGCATAATCTTCTAATGGATTAAACTGTGTGATAACTGGTCTTTATGAGATTAACCTGCATCATGAAACATTCTTGGCTGCATGAACTTGCATCATAACTGCTGGCCTTTAAGTACTGAATGAACCTGTATAGCAAGGAAGATTTTACTGGATTTGCATATGAACTGAATTTAACCTGGGACTGGAGATACAGCTGCTTAGTATCATGCAGTGAAGATCCATTATGATAGGGCGATGAAGAGGACAACTTAAATAAATCAAAACTTCTGATTGGAGTTTCCCACAATGTCAATGTATCAATCCGACTAACCTGAATTTGGCCATTAAGTACTGTAAGTATAAACATGGAAATTAAACTGCTTATTATATATCTGCTTATATATTGGGACAATTGACCAAGCCAACAGTAGATAAGTGGGTCGGAATATTTTAAAGAAGAACCAAAATAAGAAGTTGTAAACTTCTGATATTGAACTACTGCAATGGCTTTGTAGGTTGCATCGGTCTCAAAATCACAAATTCAAATCTGAATACTTATTTATAGTATATGATTACAAATCCAATTCTAACCTACATGTATTTTGTTCACAATTAGTTATTTCCTATATTGCTCATGTGAGGATCACCCCAAATATCACCCAGACATAAAATCAAAATAATTTTCTCAAACATTTCCCTAGGTAGACATTCAGACTTGGAAGAACTGTCATTTGCTTTAAATGAACAAACATCGATGATCAAGGGTTGTTCTTAAACAATAAGTACAAATAGGGAAAATTCCTACAGAATATATAAATCGTTTTAGTTGTTTCCGTGAGCATTAGGCAGCAGATGGTGGTCAATTTCAGAATTTAGTAGTTAAAGTCAGGCATGTAATGTATTATTTTCTTATTCTAATACATAGCTATAGTTTGGCCACCATCTGCTACAGGTTAATGTTTAGTGAAACATGGTTTCCCTACCCATTACGCAGCAGATCAAATAAGAGTTATGGTTGCAAAGAACTATAAACTACATGTTACAATTTTACTTGTTTGGCTACCAAATAATGTGTAACTAAATATTACATAATGAAAGGAATTAGCACCACAATAACTTTCCAACTCTGGTAACTGCATGTTGAGTGTTACATACTGCTCGATGGTGAAACATGTTTACTTGATATTTTTAGACCTGTGAAAAGATGAAAGTATCTTACTGTGCAGACGTTTGCGGCGCAAGTGCCATGGGATGATATACGAGGTTGGATGACTTGGAAGAGTAACATTTCCCTCATAAAAAACGTGAGTTATTGAATTGTTCTACACACATGGTAAAGTCTTTATACTTTCAAAATGTTCTTGAAAAAGTCTTTAATTATTAACCAGAGAACTTTAACTGACAAGTTATCCAGGCAACAATAAGTTAAAAGAAGGAGGTAGTTAAGTCTAGCACTACTGCAATTAATCTAATTAGACCAGCACAGCAATTAGCCAATTTTGTGAATGTTGTCACTTGATTAATGACTCCTTTAAAATCTTTATTTAGAACAAAACCAGGTTTACCACAAGAGTGACAAGTGAAAGACTGTTGAAGTCAGGCATGCATATTGAAGATAACTGAACCATAGAAAACGTGCTTTGCAGCACGTTACGAACACATGTTCCAACAACTGTGGATGGTATTCTTGAAGAATGAAGATATCGACACCGAAACGGCAAACCTGATGCTGCATAGAGAAGTATGATCTCAGAGATAAAAAATCTTTCAATAGTTTATTTTGCATTTGTTGAATGTAAAATATTTTCTTTAGGACAAGATACAGTTGCAAAAGTACAAAAGACTAGAAGTGGAGCCAAATGTGCAAACTGGAAAGCCATCAGCTGATCTGGTGTGAAGGCTGAGGAGCAAGGCGGTACTGCATGAAGAGAACTCGGATGTAGACAGGTCACGTAAGTATTTACTAACTATTTACTTTATATTTACCGCGCCGACAGATGGGAGACAAGTGCCATGAACGATGAATATTCAAGATTAGATGATTTGAAGGAGTAACATTTTTCTCGTAAAAAATGTGAGTTGTTAAATTTATTCATATGTTGCAAAACTGCTTTATTTCTTAAGAAAATGAATGCAAATAGTTGTGTTATTTTATTTTTGTTGTGAAATTTCTTCCCTTTACCTTTTCCAGTGTGAACATCACGTTATCAACAGAGCTCAACTGAATATGGCAAAAGATGTAGTTGGAACCAATTTGACTGTGATAATAACCTCAATTTGGAACTTGCAAAAGCAGCCACTTGTTGAGCACTGAGTGAACCTGTATATATGCCAAAGCAAGAATTCGCTGGATCTGCACAAATATTGAAAGGATTTTAACCTGCACTTGGACCTACACCAACCTAATGTCAAGCTGTGAAGATGCGACGAATTGTGAAGAGGAATTGATGGAAAAACATTCAGGTTTATACTATAGGTACCATAGGTATTGTAGGTGATGTAGTTGAGTCTTGTATCCAGAATAAGTAATTCAGTATTCTGGATCCAAGATCTCCTGGTGGTCTCTGACGGATGTATTTACACATTTTCTGTACTTTTCCCACCTTTTGGCACAGTTTGAAAATATGAAATTTTGAACTGATCAGTAAAATATCACTTAAAATGTTTCAAATTCTCTAGTGTTTCAATGTGTAAATGCAAGCGACGTAGTTGTTAGGTGTCATGTGTGCGTGATGTAGCTACATCAAAATCCGGGTTCCATCTCAAATTCTGAGGTGTTGATAGTATGGTAGAAAATGCTGTCTGCTATTTCAACAACTATTGCTATAGCGAAGTTCGACCATTCGACCAGAGTTAGGAATTCAGTTTCCAAATTGGAAGCGGTATATTAACTCTTTAAAAAGCAATGTGGTTTTAGATCACCAGGATTGTTTGATCGAGCAGCCCAGACATTGCTTTATCTTTGTTTGAAACGTTTCAAAATAATAGCTTGTGCGTCATGAACAGCAGACAATTTTCAATTTGAAATAAATGCTGTGACGGACGAGTTTATATTGCAAGAATTAGCTCAATTGCTGACAGTGGAGGATACTGGTAATGTTTGACTGTGGTGTTGATTATTTGTGGATGGCAATTGTGTGTGGTTGTGGGATGGCGCCTCCTTCAAACGCACTTCCTTCGGGCCAATTGACATGTACGGAAAATGAACACCACAGCCAAATCTTACGCGGTGTATATTCAACTGCAAGCAGCTGAAGTAGAAAGTTGCAGGAGATTCAGTAAAGACCTGTGTGAAAATAGGAAGTTACTGAAGCGCGAGCACTGGCACAGAATATTGTACTTTCCGCATCAAAGTTCCACACTAGATCTTCCTACATGCTCCAGTTCAATATTTACATTAGTTACCAGGCCTTTCTATATGCTCACAATCAAGCTTCGCACTAGTTACCAGGCCTTGGTACATGCTCACAATCAAGTTTTTCACTAGTTACCAGGCCTTGCTATATGCTCACAATCAAGCTTCGCATTAGTTACCAGGCCTTGCTATATGCTCACAATCAAGCTTCACATTCGTTACCAGGCCTTGCTATATGCTGACAATGGAGCTTCACATTAGTTACCAGGCCTTGCTATATGCTGACAATGGAGCTTCACATTAGTTACCAGGCCTTGCTATATGCTTACAATTAAGCTTCACGTTAGTTACCAGGCCTTGCTATATGCTCACAATCAAGCTTCACATTAGTTACCAGGCCTTGCTATGTACTCACAATCAAGCTTCACATTAGTTACCAGGCCTTGCTATATGCTCACAATCAAGCTTCACATTAGTTACCAGGCCTTGCTATATGCTTAAAATCAAGTTTCACATTAGTTACCAGGCCTTGCTATATGCTCACAATCAAGCTTCACACTAGTTACCAGGCCTTGCTACATGCTTAAAATCAAAGCTTCTCATATTAGTTAATAACAGACCTTGTTATATGAGTATTCTTGTATTCTCTGTATGTTCGAAACGACAGCTAGGCAAAATTCTCTGCAAGCACTAAAACACAGGAGTGAGAAAAAACAGTTACAGGGAGTAATAAAACATTGTTTAATTGTCTGTATCGATACTGGTTTCCAGACCATGATATATGCCAACAATCAAGTTTACACTTTTTCGTAGCCTAGCTATATGCTCAGGTTCCATTCTCGAATCCTGAGCCTGCTGCAATTATCTTGAGAGGCTTGCCGAGGCTCTTCGAATACACCAGCGAAAATTGGGCTCTGATGGTTGTTATTTTATTGTTCGTACCCATTTCTTTTACACTGAGTCCACTTAGCATTTAGTGATTGAAATATAATTTTCAATTAAACTTAATATTAAGTTATGTCATTTGGTACAGATATGGAATCAATAGACTATTCTGACATTAATATGCCAATAAAACTGTATTATAATAACAGTGCAGCATTACTATGATAAGCTGTTGTTTGTAATATTTATTAATATCAAAATCAGCATTACTCCCATGGCTACCAACACAACAATTAAAAAAGCTGGCAAGTATTTATTGATTAATTAAAGTGTAATAAGCTTGAACAATGGCATAATTCATGTTTGACTGCAGCAATGTCTATTTATAAATGCCAAGTGAAGTACTGGATCGAAATACTGGTGTATCCCAGAGCCACAGCAAGCCTGCACAGAGCATTGTACGTTCAGGGTTCTATTTTATATTTGAATCTAGAACATTTTCAAATTGCAAAACGAACAAAATTGAAAAGTATATTTCGGCTGGAGGGTTTTCCACCGGGAACTCCGGTTTCCCTCCTTTTCATTGAGATTTGAAAAAACAGTGTCCATGTTTGGGGCCAAAGCAACATACAACAGTTTTTGGAGAATTATTTACAACGCATATGCACATCAAGAATCATCTTAATTATTATTACTAGATTTTCAGTGCTTTTGTAAAATTGCAGAAAAAGTTAAGAGCATGCTCTGCAGCTTTGTTAAATACGCTTTGTATTGCAAAGTACCCTTAACTTTAATTTTATACAAGACTATTTCATGACGCATGTGTGATGAATGTAAGATAGTTTGCAAAACTGATCAAAATCTCAAAGCGACAATAAGAATTATTTATGTTAGAGGCATTAAACTAAAAAGATTGTAGTGTCACACAAGAGAACAAGTTGTATGACCTCAAAACCTGTTGTGTGATTGGCTTCTGGGTTAAAATCCCAGAACACTGATCAAAACTTAATTATTCCTAAAATCGGTTAGGTAGGGATGGTATCACGTTAAGTTGACATCTAGGAACTCATGATTGATGAAAATTTATTGAGGAAACAGCATGTAAATTATATATTACATTACATACTTATTGTGTTCCCTGAATAGGGATTTTCAACAACTGAGTAAGAATATAACATGGAAAACGTTTGACCACGCCCACCCCCTAACCATAAAGCTAACCTCGATTTCTTTGGAAGCGGAAGTGAACTGCTGACGAGAGTGGCATGCCCAGAATTGCAGTAAAATTCTGAGCCAATATGTTGTCATCGAACTAGGCACACATTGTAGCCTTGCGCAGTGATGCAACTGGTTTGCCTGAATACAAGTAGCCTGAGTGGCAGGCTGAATGGGTCCCATGCAGACCTGGAATGCGAGTTGCATATGAGTAAACATTGATATAGTTATCAATTCTTTATTTGATACTTATTGAAGTCAGTGCATCATTCATGTATTACTGAAATGGCAAGGATTTTGAAAACACATCATGAGCTTGACATGGCTTGATATTAATCAGATTGTCTTTTTTTACTGAGACATATGATATGGGAACCCAGAGCGTAGTATTACAGGTGACCTGGCTACAGTGGGTGATTGCTAGATAGTATACTCCAAAATAAGGTTTCCGTTTTTATAACGTAGAAAAAACTATCCTAACGCAAAACTAAACCCTAACCCTAATACTAAACCTAACCCTAACCTTAAACCCTAACCTGACCCTAACCTATTTTAAAAATGAATAAAAACGGAAATCTTATTTTGAGGTATACTATCTAGCAATTGCCCTGGCTAATGGCCCATTAAGAGTCAAATCCGGATGACTGTTGTGAACAACGTTGCAATATTCATTTGTCACGCAATATTGCAATATTGATCGGCTGATTGCTATAGCAAATTACAATGGTGCAAACAAATGGCAATTATTAGGTGTTGACAATTTGTTTGTAGAGAGGTTGTAAATGCAAAGCATTTGACTGGTTGGGCCGGGAAAGGAACAAGTGGGCAATCTGCAGGCTTTATTTACAAACTTGCTTCCTAATCATATCATGAACTTTTGAAACTTTGTAAAGTATAAAGAAAAAATGTTGTGTCACAATATTTGAATGTCGTCTGCAATGGAACACTGGGATATTGAAACTTGTTATGAAGCTGATATTGTGAAAAACTAGTTGGTTTGATGCTTGTTATGTTACTCTGAGTGTATATCGATTCATAACAGTGTCGCAGTTTACATGTATTTGGACCCATTGACTATAGTAGATTTGGACCATCCAAATCTAGTAATCTAATAGAAAATACAGACCCCTTTTAGGTGAAACACGATTTTCATTCAATGTTTTTTAACAATAAGTGATGCATGGTGACTGATAAACTAAATGGAAGCCCATGGCAATAAAAATGTTTTCTATTCCACAATAAATCTGGAAAGTAATGAATTCAACATATTCAACATTATAAGGGGCATGTTACATATATAGGAGTATGTTACATATAGGGACAAACATACGATAGATGAAGTGATGTAATATTTTCAAGTTAAGTTACAATATGAGTCGTCACATATAAGGATGCATGGTGGTAAAACCATATGTTACATATATTATGGGGCAATAGCAGACTATTTCAATAAAATTAAAGATTTTCTTGTGGTACGTTAGCAATCAAAGTATAAAGTTTTACAAAATTATTGAACAGGAAACTTCCAGAATTACTAATGCAGTAATCAGTTTCCGATCAGTCTCTGATTTCGTCTGAACAGATTGCATTCAGTACAGAATCATTAATTAGCTTCTCTAGGTTTTTATCAGCTTGCCCCCGTGTGTGTAACATAAAGTTTTTAACCCTGCCCTTATATGTAAACTCGTACTGGAATTAACTTGAATTTATTTTGCCACTTAATTAAACCTGGTAGAAAATTTGTACTGCGGGGGATCCGAATCTATTGGGGAGTGAATTGAAGTACAATGAAGTATTATTGTGAAATATATGTATTCACTGGGGCAGTGATGAGTTTTTTTTGCTGTGCTGAAGCGATGCACAGCATTTCTCTGAGCCAGATTGCATTTTTTGACAATTTCTGTGGTTATAGATATCTAATTTTTTTGGGTTTTTTTTTTTTTGGGGGGGGGCAGGGCCGTAGGGGGGGGGTTTTGGGGGGTGGTTAACCCCCCCCCAACTTTTGTAGAATTAACATATTCGGAAAATCGGGTCGGCCATTCGGAAAATTACGGCAATAATAGTATAACAAAATTTTAGTTGTTTAAACAGAGAAAATATTATAAAATGGTATTGTCAGTATAAACCATTGGTATAAACTGATTTACGAAATCACGGCATTTACATGGATAAACGTAAAACAAATCGTAAATCGGTAAATGTTTTTCCAATCCGATCCGAAGAATTCTTAAATAAAATAAATTTCTCATTATTGAAATATTTAACCAAATAAATATAAAAGCAAGAAATACATGTCAAGAAGCTTACAAAGTGACGTTCAATTGAACTTGATCAAACGAATAATGCAGCGACAACCGCGATGATACTTTCATAAATGCATGGATAATTAATTCTTGAGATAATGCTGGATAATTAATTCATTTTATTTGGGATATCGAAGTCCGACCGATCCGACTACGAAACAACTTTATATCAATCCGATCCGAAATGAATATTTTGGTTCCGAAGTTCGAACGAATCGGAATGGTTTCGGATCGGATTTGCACACCTCTACAATAGACCTTTCCCTTTCTGAGTGAAATTTTGATCTAGACAAGTCTGGACAAAGATTTCATCACATGCAGCTTGAAAGAGCATCACAAAATTAGTAATATTCCGAAGTTTCGTTGCGAAATGTTGTAAAATGCGGATAATATAGCCTTGCGAAGTTTGCCGTTTTTCAGTCATTTATTTTGCATTACAAACGGAAGTTGATAATCAGCTGATGATCAAACTGATTACCAATCCATTTGTAATGCAAAATGACTGAAAAAACGGCAAATTTCGCAAGGCTATATTATCCGCATTTTACAACATTTCGGAACGAAACTTCGAAATGTTACTACTTTTGTTATGCTCTTTCAAGCTGTCTACTATCAAAATTTTACTCCTAAGGGGAAAGTCAAATTTTAAGCGGCTACATTATCCATGACAAACCGCAAAGAATCATATTACCCATAGGCCATATTTCCTGCATGCAATATATAGTTAATTAAATACGCCTTCACCCATTTAGTTCTACTAAATTGTAAGCAAATTGTAAATTTCGACATACTAAAACTCTATTAACAACTCGAACCTACTTGACATGCACGTAGCTCAGTTGGCAGAGCATTGTAATAGTATCCCAAAGGTCGCGGGTTTGACTCCCGCTGTGGATGCATACTCAGAGTAACATCACAAATATCATACTATGGTTTTCTGACCATCAGAATTCTGTCAAAACTCCCCCAAAGTCCAGGAAATGGCATTTCAGAGAGTCTCAATTTATAATTTGTAATACGTCTTTGCGTAAACTATGTGTATTTTTGTTTGTAAATTGCATGTTCATTTTCCGGATGGATAGCAAACACCTTCGTGGCTTCGTATGCAATGAAATATTCGGAAATTTTTTTCGTCATTCGGAAATTTTTGCCCTACACTCCCCAACTATAAATGCTAGTTACGGCCCTGGGGGGGGGGATTATATCCTGAAACACTGTAGTATGATATCATATCATGAGTATTTGGGGTCACACAGTGATTGTTGGTTTTATGTATTAACATTGGAATAATAAATGTTTTGGCAATTTTTCTCCTTCGCTCGCTTAAAGGATATTCTGATTTAGAAAATGACGTCATCGACATTTTTTGGCTACACCCCTTCTTCGCCAAATTTTCCGGCCGCGATATCTCCGGAACGAAGTAGAGCCTGGAGACCAGAGTAGCACCATTGGATTCAGCGTAAAATTCTGATCCACAAAATGACGACATCGACATTTTTTGGCCACACCCCTTCTTCGCCAAATTTGGCCCAAGTTTAGCCACATATAGCCACCTTAATATAATTCCGAAAGTAGCTAGGATACAGCTCAACTCATCTCAATGTCAAGTACATTACTGTGTCCAAGAACGAAAGACATATGCAAAAGAACAATAAGATAGAAAAGTTTTTATACCTGTAATATGTCAATCCACTTGCAATATTGAGATCGGAAATCTACAAGAAATTTAGCGTCAAAATTACATGAATAAACACACGCATATTTCTTTACAGTTTCCATATATGGATTTTAGTTTTGGACACGTTCAAATAGGACCACTTTTTAATATATATTAAGGTGGCTATTGCCCGTCAAACATTGTCTATTTTAAAGATACAAATCGAAATAACTCTGCTGCCTTTTATTCGATTTCTATAAATTGTACTACACTTGTAGAAATAAACAAGATTAATTGACACGCCAAGTCTCATTTCCAACACACTTAAGGTGGCTCTCTTACGGCACATTAGGCGTAGTATGCATTTTCTTGCGCAGAGCCACCTTAATACTTTGTTCCAAAACTCAACTCTATATAGCGATATTCATCTTTTAATGACAAAAAGGTCACAAACTATGGGCTGGCCGCATTAAAAGGCCTAGTAGTAATGGAGGTTTACTTCGCGAAAATAGCCAATTTAAGCCGCAGATAGCCACCTTAATATAGAAGAAGAAGAAGAAGACTTTATTCAGCACGCTTTTACAAAAATAAAAAATATACAAAAAATTTTAGAACGATTAATAATTAATCAATAGGACAAAATAATTCGTGCTGGGTTTCTGAGATAACCATATACAGTTAATCGAGTCAGATAACCCATTTGAATTAAATTACTAATATTCAATTAGCTGGGGGATTGATGGCATTATATAGAGATTTAAGAAAAATAAATTTTTATATATATATGCAAAATATAAGCACAACCATAATGTAGACATAACATATACACAGAATTAAGTTATATGGAATACAAAGCTATAAATATACAATTAATAGTTGGAAAAAAAGTCACATATGATTATGTGTTTGAAGCTGGATAAACTAAGAACTTTATAATGATAAGGAAGATAGTTCCAAATTTTAGCACCAGAAAATCTAATGTTAAATTTACCATAATTAGATCTGATATTATGCATATAAAAGGACTCTTGACAAGCAAGCCTGGTACTATATTTATGAACTTCAGAAGTTGGGGTAAAGAATTCCTCAAAAACTGTAGGAATAATTTTGTGATGAAATTGGTACATGAATAAAGCATACTGAAGGAATACAATATCCTTGAATTTCATGAGTTCGAGATTTTTAAATAGTTCACTAGTATGACTATTATATTCAGAAAAATTTATAATTCGGATAACTTTCTTCTGGAGAATAACAACATTTGTTATTGAATTTTCATAGGCATTGCCGCAAACTAAAGTTCCATAAGTAAGATACGGATAAATCAAACAATAATACAATTGTTTTAAAATGTTTTGAGGGTCATAATATCGCATTTTTGCAAGAATACCGATATTTCGTGATATTTTTTTTGAGATTTGATTCACATGACATTTCCAATTTAAATATTCATCAAAAATTACTCCCAGATATTTTACACTTTTTTCTCTCGTTAGACATTTTGAGGAAATAGATAACGAGATAATTTCAGATTTTTTGAGATGGTTGAAAAATGACATAGTTACTTTTATCTATATTTAAAGAGAGTCTATTTGCAATAAGCCACTGGTTTACTTTCATCAGTTCGATGTTAACTTTATTTTCGAGATTGCTGATACTTTTATCAGTATAAAACAGATTAGTGTCATCAGCGAATAAATGAAAGTCAAGCAAATTTGAACAATTCTGAAAGTCATTAATATATAGTAAGAATAGCAGTGGTCCAAGGACAGAGCCTTGAGGAACTCCACAGCATATTTCCTTACACTCAGACAGAGTGTTGCCAATAGACACATACTGCTTTCTATTTTTTAAATATGAGCAAAACAATTCCTTTGCTATTCCTCTCACACCATAATGATCTAGTTTGTTGATCAGTATGTCATGGTTCACTGTGTCAAAGGCCTTGCAGAGATCAAGAAAAATACCGCATGCAAACTTTCTATCATCTATAGCCTTTTGAATTTTATCTATGATCAAAAGTAGTGCATGAGTTGTTGAATGCCTTGGGCGGAAACCAAATTGTTTATCATAAAGGATATCAAACTTGTTAAGGAAATTCATCAGACGTTTAAATACCAATTTTTCTAGCAATTTATTAAATATAGGCAAAAGCGATATTGGTCGGTAATTATTTAAAGTATCTTCAGTTCCCTTTTTATACACTGGAATAACTTTAGCAATTTTAAAACAATCTGGTATTAATCCATAAGTAAGAGAATTATTGAAAATTACCTCAAGAGGTACTGATAAAGTCTTTTTAACAAGTTTAAGAATCTTCATTGGAATACTAAAAAGCCCAGAAGCTTTATTATTTGCCAGCAGATTAATTTTGTCTTCAATTTCACTGGCACAAGTAGGATATAAGAAAAAATTATTAGAGTTTGAAGAACCCATGAAATTAGTATAATCGACAGTTGCCCTAGGTATCTCTTTATCTAATTCACTCCCAACGTTTACAAAGTACTGATTAAATGCATTAGCAATTGATTTACAATCAGTTATATTTTCACCTTTATCAACAAACCTTGTTGGTAAATTTAGGCGATTAGCCTTGAGATTAATAATACTACGAATCCCTTTCCAAATATTTTTTATGTTGTTAGTGTTTACAATAAAAAAGTTGTTATAGCACCTTTTTTTAGTTATTTTGATCAAATGGTTAAGTTTGTTTCTGTATCTTTTGAATTTGCAAAAATAAGTAGGATTATTACTCTTTAATGACTTACGAAAATAGAAATTTTTAATTACTATTGATTTTTGTATTGCAGGAGTTATTCAAGGTCTAGATAATGTTTTTATTTCTCTTTTATTCATTTGTTTTAAAGGCAGATGCTTGTCTATAATTTCATTAGTTTTTGAATAAAAAGAATCAAATTGTTCATTGATGTTAGTGTCACCTAAGACAGTATTCCAATCAATAGATCGGAAATCATTTATCAATGTCTCTTCATTAAAATGACTATAGTCTCTCTTATATATTTTTGTTTTGGGAGGCAATGAACAAAATTTATTTATTATCAGAAAATTTGGGAGATGGTCGGTTAAATCATACATTAGATTTCCACTAACTGTATGATGCTCAAGTAAATTAAAGAAAATATTGTCAATCAGTGTTGCTGAGTGATGAGTTATACGAGTAGGTCCTATATAAAAGGGTGGAAAAAGCTAGATGATAAACTATTTACAAACAATTGTGTTGGAGGGTGACAATCATAATTTAAAAGATTTACATTGAAATCACCCATCAACAAACAATATTTATTTTCTCGTTCTAACTTACTTAATGTTTCATTCATATGTTCAATAAACAAATTAATATCTGAACTGGGGTGTCTGTATATAACAGCACATAATGTGTTTCTATGTTTTGAATTGAGAATCTCAATCCACAAAGTTTCACAAAAGTTAGAAACAAAATCTAATGAAAACGAAAAAGGTCACAAACTATGGGCTGGCCGCATCAAAAGGCCTAGTAGTAATGGAGGTTTACTTGGTGAATATAGCGCAATTTTAGCCACATATACCCACCTTAATTAATCTAATTCCAAAAGTAGCTCGGATATACTTAACTCATCTCAATTCCAAGTATATTGCTGAGTCCAGGAACAAAAAACATGTAAAAAGAACAAGAAGATAGAGAACTTTTTATAAGCGTAATATGTCAACCCACTTGCAATATTGAGATCAGAAATCTACAACAAATTTAGCGTCAAAATTACATGAATAAACACACGTATATTTCTTCACACTTTCCAGATATGGATTTTAGTTTATGACACGTCAATCTAAGTTAACTCTAACCTGAAAATGCAAATACCATTGTTGGATTCAGCGTAAAATTCTGACTCAAAAAATGACGTCATCGAACATTTTTGGCCACGCCCACCCACTTTTTGAAAGTTAACCCTAACCTGGATAATTACGGAACCAAAAGTCGCCTGGTCATCAAAATACCACCGTTGGATTCACCGTAAAATTCTGACTCACAAAATGACGTCATCGAACATTTTTGGCCAAGCCAACTTTTTGAAAGTTAACCCTAACCTGGATATCTACCGAACCAAAAGTCACCTGGTCATAAAAATACCACCGTTGGATTCACCGTGAAATTCTGACTCAGAAAATGACGTCATCGAATATTTTTGGCCAAGCCCACTTTTTGAAAGTTAACCCTAACCTGGATATCTCCCGAACCAAA